TATTGGACAGTCTGACACTGATGATGATGAGGATGAGAGAGAGAGAAAACGGATGAGGATGAGGATGAGAGAGAGAGAAAACAGACAGAGACAGAGAGCGGCAGAGAGAGAGAGAGAATCATGGATGGATAAAAGGATGAATTGATAAATGGATGTATGAATGAAATAATCGATTCTTTTTCTCTCTTTTAACTACTTGCACACAGACTAGGAGTTGGTTCCAGAGACTCCAGACTTTTGCACCTCTAGTGAGAAATACCCTTTAAAACATTCTGTTTTTGACATGTAGTTAATACCTAAGTCGTTTGCTCTTCCTCTAATACGATAGCTGCATGGGTTATGGACGTCTATACGTCAAACGGGATGGGGGGGGGGTGGGTGGGAATTTCTGATATTTTAATAAGCTGTCACGCGCAAACGACGTGTGATTGGCCCAAAAATGTAAACATGTCAACCGTGTATTGTCCTTAAAGAGTATAGAATTACTCGTGTCACAAATTTGCTTAGTTTGTTACTAATTACAATTGCGATCTATGGGGTTAATGGTTGATTCGAATTAACGTTTGAAAAGGAGTTGACTAAAACGCCGTGGCACGTAAGACGTGATGCAGCATTAAACGATAGATGATTAGCTTTTCGATGCACCCCGGTGAACCATGCAGTTAAGTTGGTGCTGCAAGTCGTTCAAAGAGAGGGATCGAAAGAGGCAATCGAGACACAAGAGCATAATGAGCAATAGATTAATTTCGCATATTACAGTTGACTTTTGCAAATGATTTACTCTTAAACGAGGCTAAACCTGTGCAAATGAGCCTAGTCGTAAAACACAGCGGTAAATTACAGAATGAGAAAATATAAAAAGGGACTTTTATGTCAGCTCACTCTTAGTTACAAGTATACCATGAACGGCATATTTGAACCCTTCTGCGGTTGATTCCCCGTTGAATTTTTCACCATCTTCTCCCTATTGCTTTCTAAAGTAAAAGAGAGAGAGAGAGAGAAGAGGAGAGGAGAGGAGAGGAGAGGAGAGAAGCAAAGAAAAGAAAGAGCCACGCTAGATATAGCAGGTGAAAGTACGAGGTAATTTATTCTACAAATTAAGATAATTGTATAATTAAAGGATGAAGGTGAGGTGAGGCTGTGTAGACTGCGTAGACAAATTCTTCGCGGTGATTGGCGTTTCTGAAGTCACGTGGGCAATGGCATTTTTTATCAGCAATTACTGACGCACCTTTATCCTTCAGTAAGACTACGAAAAAAACATCTATTTGTTTCAGTCAAAGAACTGGGATCTCTCAGAGATATAACTGGAGTTGAACCCAAAGTGGTTTCACCGTGGTTGTTGTGAAAAAATTGACTGCGAATTGTCTGAAGAAGGAGAGAAATATTAATGAGTACTCTTCACACCATGGTTTAAAAGTTGCTTAATGAAACAGGTACGTTAAAAACGTTTCCTTTTTTTTTTTTTTTTTTTTTTTTCTTTTTTTCATTTAAATACAAGGTAGTCTGTCCGAAGTATTTTCAATATGATCAGAATAAAACTTGGGAATAACGAAATGTTTCTACAATACAAAAATAACTGATTACAATGCAATAATTATTATAGCAGCTGAATTTGCATTTGTATAATATAACAAATAACTTCTTACAACAAATCGATAACTAATATTAACTAAAAACTTCATGGTATACTTGTAAAATTGATGGAGGGAAAAACATCGGATGACCAGCCGAGAGCAGCCAGTAAAACGCCATTAAATTTCTCCGTTTGTTTGGAAGTTTTTTCTAGGCATTTGCTTTTCATCTTTCTTCGCAGAACTGGTTCAACTGAAACTCATTCTCTTTCGCTATATAAAATATCCATGATCACATTTTGTATTGAAATTTTATTTCTACAATACTTCGCAGTTATTAAGAAGTCTTTCGCTTCCCCTTTATTCGGAACCAACGCAAAATGCGTATTTAGTTGTCGAATCCGTCATTCAATACTTCCTTTCTGGGTTTGTCCAGTTTCCTTCCACTGTAAATCTCAAACTAAGTTTCATTTCGACATATGACCCAGAGTCCTGGGATTACAAGATTCGATAACTGTTTGTTTTTTCTCCATTTCTTTTTGAACGGCAACAAACATAGCATGCCCTTAAAAACATTCAGGAAATTTTTTTCCCCAATTAATGATGCTTCTCAGTTTTTTTTATTTTTAAATTTTTTTTTTTTTACTTTTTTTATTTTTCAGATCTCAGAATAAAGACTTCTGTTATCGGGTTTAGAGGAAGTGTAGCATTCGGAAGATGAATGATACCACACTTTCCATTAGGAAGTCTGCAAAAGTATGTTATCTCATCACCATTTTTAATCAGATTGTTGTAAGCCGATCCTCGAGAAACCGCTTTTGAACACTTAGTCAGGCAGCGAAATAGTACGACACTTCACCTTAAATGGAACTTGCGTAGTAAACCAATCCAGAAAAGGAGCATGGTTTCTCGACTGGCCGGGTAATAACGACTAAAGAGCTCTTTATACTTCAAACTAGTGCGGATTAGCGGCTGCCGCCAAACAGCTTTATTCATCTACGAACAGAATCCAGCAATTTCAAGTAAACCAAAAATTAATTAAATAAGGTCACTCCAAAAAAATCGTTTATTAAAAAAAAACGAAAAACAAATAAGGGAACTGACAAAGATAACTCCCTTCAATGGTGGTTGAACCAAAATGGCGCTATCAGATACAGATATCATTTTCACATGCATCTATGGTCTTTTAATAGCCGCGGATCTAGTCGGAAACACCATAGTATGTTGGATTGTCAAGCGCTTCAATTCCATGAAGACGCCGATGAACTATCTCTTAGTAAACCTTGCTATCAGTGACATTGTGCTAGGAATCTTCCAAATCCCTCGTCATCTTATGTACGCATTTTATGATCATCCAGATGGAATTGCAGGAGATTTGCTGTGCAAGTTCTTTAGTTATGGCAATCTCTCCTGGGTGGGGTCGGGGGCTGGTATATTCACCCTATTAACGATAGCCTGGGAGAGGTATAACGCTATTATGAAGCCTCTTTCGCGATTCTCTCTAAAACATGTCAAAATTGCTATTGTGTTGAGTTGGGTTTTTGGCGTCCTGATAACTTTTTACGAGACTTTAGTATTAGTCTATAGCACAAAGATCAAATCTTGTGAATATAAATGGAACATCGAATCAGGTGGAAAAATTGATTCTGTGGTATGGTTAACAGCCGGGTCCCTTCTTCCTTCGACTTTTATGATAGTACTATACGGTGTGGTGATCAAAACTCTTTGGTGCTCAAAGAACAAAGCAAATGATGTGGCCCAGCGCTCGCTTCTGAAGTCACGCAAGAGAGTCACGAAATCTGTCATAACTGTCACAGCCATTCTGTTCGTTTGTTGGACGCCGAATTTATCTTACTATGTTGCAAACGCGTACAAGCCAATCAACTCTTCAACAGCTGCCTCACTAGTTAACAACGTGCCCATTCTGTATAACACCAGTAGGGCCTTGATTTTACTTAATTCTACGGTTAATCCATTTGTTTATGCGATTCAGGATGTAAGGTTCCGACGATGTATGAAGCGTATTGTATCTTGTTCGACTAGAGTAGAAATTACTCCAGCTTCTCAGAGCATGGCCACTCCGCACAAAAGGGACAATAGATGAACTGGCAATCTATGTAAAGAAGATAAGAATAAGTAGCCGAGAGAGAAAAAAGAATACCGACGTAATATAGATGAAAGCCGAAAAGTGTTAGTCAGCATCAGAGAAGTTATATAACTCATCTGATAAAAAATCTGATTAGAATATTGACTTATATGAGTAATGAACATTTGTTTCAAAATATGGCGTATTTATTAATATATAGATAAAAGTGTTTGACTTCCAATGATATTCGTTTAACTATATGTGAAAACACTCTCTAAGGTACTAAAATATTTGACTGTTGGTGGATTATACAGTTTAATTGTGAAAAAAAAATGTAAATATTTGACTTTTGCAAACTTTTAACATAAAAATATGTTATTGAAATAAAATTTTCAAATTAAGCGCAAAATGTTTCTTTTTTTTTTTTTTTTTKCGATCCAAAATCCAAGATTCCGGATTTTCCAACATTAAATCTCTCGGGATTCAGAATTTAGAAGTATAAATCAAATATTAGAGGTGCGCATGTTTTTCCTATGTGTTATTACTATCCATGCTCTTTTAAAAGCTGAAAATTCGACGAGAATTGTTTATTTTTTCGATCCGAGGTCCGACGTCCAGTCCAGTCTAGTTTACACGATTCTTTATTTTCCAATTAAAAAAACTCTTAAAATGCAGGATTTAGAATCCTGTTATACAGAAAGAATCAGGTTATACAGTTTTGGCATCTTTTAGCAATATGTTAAGACTGATTGTACCTCCTTCAAACGAAATATGCATCGACCTCATAGAAGAAGTGCCACGAAAAGAATCATTCGTATATGCTATGCCGAGAAATGAGACAAACGTGTCAAATTGAAATGTATAAGCTAAAAAGATTTGCTTAAAGTTTCTATACAAAGATATAATACTTAAAATCGATTAGATTCGTTTTAGTTGAGAAATCGTAGAAAATTAAAAACTGCGTACCCCGAGCCTGCGTTTCTTCTGGCCTGCGGTGAAGAACAAGGGCTCTGGCATGATCCATTTTTTGAGACCAGGATTTCTTGGACTTCCGGTATAAGAGCGCATGCGTTCAACTAAGCACGTTCAACTAAGCACGTCTAGAACACAGTCTCAACCGATAGCGTGACGGCAAAGGTGAAAAACCTCAATACGATACACGTGGTCTGGATACACAGCCACGTGATCTGGAAATGCATATTATTTGATCGTTTCTTTCCATTTGCAGCGTAAAATAGTTCAACGAAAGCTGCATGACAGAAATTCTTTGGAAATAGATTTCGGCCGTTAGTTAAGTTTCATGACTCAACTAGTCTGTCAAGTGGCCAAGAGTGAAAGAGTCACTTCGTGACCAATTGATATTTTATCATGCACTATCATCAGTATCACGAAATCTTAACTGCGGGTAAATTAAAGACGAACAGCTGCATGCGTGACATGTTGAATTACTTAAACACAATTCATGTATTTGGTCACCAGCACCTTGACACTGAAACAAATTCAGTCTGTAAAATCCTTCTGTATTCAAAGTTTACAGTGGCAAGAAAGAAAGGCGAAGAACTGAGATCTTGCAGAAACCAGTCATGCTGACAGAGATACTTGAATTTTGTCTATGTGTTTTTCTTCTTCTTTTTATTTATGCTGAGCTGAAGCAGGGTAAAGATTCCTTGGATATTCCAGGGCCTACAGCGTTGCCTTTCATTGGCAATCTTCTTCAAATTCACGGAAAACCTTTGCACAGCTGTTTTCATAATCTTGCTCGTACATATGGCAATATTTTCAGGATTTTCATAGGAAGACAGCGAGTTGTCGTCCTAAGTGGTCGAGCCATAAAAGTTGCTTTAGTGAGACAGCCGACGGCTTTTGCCGGAAGGCCTTCGTTTTCTGAAATGGGAGTCAAATTTTCGCATCCACCATCACTCGTAATGGCAGACTATGGAAGAAAATGGCGTCTTTTCCGAAGAATGGGCCACTCGGCTCTCAAAGTATACGGAGAAAATACCCTTCAGTATATTATTTGCACAGAGATTAAAGACCTTTGCAGAAGACTAGAAAACTTTAATGGGAAGGCTGTGCACATAAATAAAGAAATTGGGATGTCGCTTACTAATGTTATTTGTACACAGATTCTTGGTTCTAGATATGAAGTGGATGATCCAGAATTTTTGAGAGTTTATAGCCTAAATGAAACGATAACGAATACTAATGTAGTTCGTTCTGTCACGGATGTCTTTCCTTTACTTTGTCACTTCATGAAAGTCAAGGTCAATAATTTGGACGATGAAATAAGGTCTTCAGAATGTGAAAGATTTGAGCTGTTAAAACTAAAATACCAACAACATCAAGAAACCTTTGATGAAAATGTCACCAGAGACTACACAGATGCGTTGATTCGAGCCAAAATCGCCGCAGAAAAAGAAGACAATTTGAATAAAAAATTCCTGACAGATGACAATATTATCAGCAGTTTGACGTCGATATTCACCGCGGGTTCTGAGACCACAGCCACTACTTTATGCTGGGCGATAATCTTTCTTCTCCATTTCCCAGAAATCCAAAATCTTCTCCAGGAAGAGATCGATGATATCATTGGAGGAGATGATACGCCAAAGCTGTCCAATAAAAAAGAGTTGCCATTGTTGGAAGCCTTTACGTCCGAGGTCCTCAGAATGACTTACGTAACACCCCTGGCTATACCACATAAGACAACCCAAGGGACGTTATTTGAAGGGTACCATATTTCTAAGGATACCATGGTCATAGTCAATTTATGGTCCTTGCACCACGATGCATCAATCTGGAAGGACCCTTTCAAGTTTGATCCAAAGAGGTTCCTCGATGAAGAAGGAAAGTACGCTCCCCCACCAGGTGGGGATTTGCTTCCGTTCAGCGCAGGTCCCCGTGGGTGCATGGGTGAAGTGCTGGCTCGAACAGAACTCTTTCTATTTCTGTCGCATCTTTTGCAGCGGTTCAAGTTTGAGACAATCTCGGGCTGTGAGCCTCCGTCTCTTGATGGCCTGGGTAGTGGGACAATTATCCACTCTCCTGATTGTAGAATTATTGTTAAATTACGATAATCCTTCGAGACCGATTGAGAAGTGACCGCCAAATCAGGTGGTAGGCTGCTTAATAGAAATATGTTAGTGCAAAAACCCTCTTTAGGACATTAAAAACTGGTCGCTAAATAGAGGTTGGTCGCTTAATAGAGGTATAAATTAGTGTGAAAAACCCCTATTAGCTATATGGGAGATTGACAACTGGTCGCTAAATAGAGGTTGGTCGCTTAATAGAGGCATAAATTAGTGTGAAAACCCCCTATGGGAGATTGACAACTGGTCGCTAAAAAGAGGCTGGACGCTTGATAGAGGTTCTACTGTATCTATCTGTTTCTTAGACTATGGACTCCAAAAATTCAAAAACAAGAACAACGTTCCTATCCTTCTGTTAGTGTCTGACTGAAGGCAGGCTAACACAAAGACTTGAGACAATCCACTCTCTCCTCTCACAGGGTGGGAAAGACTGATATACAGTTACTAGTCGGAGAGGGAGGGCGCGAAAGGGTAGGCGGACTTAGAAATAGAAAGCCGTCAATACCGCAATTTCCAGAACAAGTTTCTTACGAAACTGCGCGTGGTGGATCTAGGAGCTCCTATGCTCTGTAAGGGAGTGGTACGAAGAATCCCCTTCCCCCTCCCCTCCCCNCTCCCCCCTCCCCCTCCCCCTCCATAATTAGCGCGAGAGGTCAGTTGCTCCAATAACTGTGTTAAGTTACGATTAAACTTAACTAAGCAGTGAAAATAATAAAATAACGAGAAAACACAAAATAAAAATCATAGAAGATATGTATTGCCTTTCTTTGCTGTTGGGCTCCCTGTGTGAGCCCGCGATTCTCTTTGTGATCAGTCTGGTTCAGACGGTTCAGTCTTTTATCGTCGTGTTCATCCGGTTTCAGCTGTCCGGTCTAGAACCTTTGCCTAGGAAGGATTTATTCACGGTATCATACGAGTAAGTATACTGATTTGATCGCTGGTAAACGAGCATTCCCAGAACCAAGATACCTAAATCCAGTGTGTGTTAGTCTGTTGGGGAATGGTGGATTGTCAGCTTAGACGTTCATACCTCTGCCTGCCATCCGGGCTGTTCGCCATTAAACCCGTTGAAGCATTTCATTTAATATCAGTTTCTTGTTTAAAAGATGGCTTTAAAGTTCTGTGCTTTAAAAACCTTCCTTTTTTTAACTCGTTCTTCCACCCAACTCACTATGATTCTGACTACACACAACCCCCACAATTTCTTTCCATCCCACCATTGGTTGGGTCCATGCCCCCCCCCCCCCGTGATTTTATACATTCCATGCATCTATCACTTTAGCCAACACCAGAATGAGAGTATATAAACTCTGTCCACTATGTCCTTAGAGTAAAATATAAAATATTAGTGGTTGAACTTTATTTTTAACAACCTTTACAGCAATATACCTTGCTTGTCGTGGTACTTCGATTGTTTGAACTATGGCAGATTCAAAGCCAAAGTTGTATGCATCACAGTTTTGCCCATTTGCTCATCGTGCCTGGATAGCATTGTTGGCCAAGAAGGTAGATTTTGAGTACATTGAACATGATCCATACGACAAGACRCCAGAGTGGATGGCCATCAGTCCCACTGGAAAAGTACCTGTGATTGTCCATAATGGGAAACAAATCTATGAAAGTGCTGTTTGTATTGAATACATCGATGAGGCATTCTCTACTGAAGTCCTGCTGCTCCCAAAAGATCCTTATGAAAGAGCAGTGGCACGTATCTGGGGAGATTTTCTTGGGAAAAATATAACTCCCCATTTCTTTAGTGCTCTTAGGAAGAAGACAAAGGAAGAGCAAGTGGAACAGCTAGAGAACTTTCAGAAYGGACTGAAAAAATTTCTTGCCGCCATGGATCCCAATGCTACATTTCTTCAGGGTGAAACCATAGGATACCTTGACATAATGCTGGYACCTTTTGCAAATCTGCTCAAAGTCTTAAAGCATTATAGGGATTTTGAGGTGCCACAGTCAACAGAGTTCAGCAGGTTCCACAAATGGTGGGATGCAGTCAAGAGTCACCCAGCATTGACACCAGTTATGCAGATCCCAATTGAAAAATTCATTGCAACATATAAGACAGTTTTTAACCCCTAAATTATGAACTGTGAAAGTAAGGCATATCCTGAAGAAGAGGAGTCTCTCCCACTATAACCTTAACCAATTATCCCTTCATCGCATCTGCCTCCCTCAAATCAAAGGACTTCCTGGATATGATATAAGAATATAATAACAATGATAATAATAATAATAATAATAATAATAATAATAATAATGTACTCAGAATTTAGGATAATAGTTTTTAAGCTTCATACGTTTTCTTTATTTTTTTTGGAATATTAGTAACTATAAATTTAGACAGAACATATTATATTGTCATTCATTAACAATTAGAATTAGAATTTAATTAGGGTTAATTTGGCCTTTAGGTTACGCTTAGCGCCCTATTGTGTCACTTGTATGGAGCATACAAAAGTTTTACACTGCTGTCATAATAATAATAATGATAATAATGATAATAATAATGATAATAATAATAATAGTTCCAATAGTCATTGGATCGCTCGGAACAATATCAAAACAATTTAAGGGTCATGTTCAGAGACTACAGTGTAGATAGTATGAGCTTGTTAGACCTAGAGAAATCTGTAATTTTAAGCACGGCACACATTTTAAGAAGAGTACTTTAGCTCTCAGGAGCTGGGTAGACTCTCTCGAGCTGAAGGTTAATGTATACACCAGCAAAAGACTTGCAATATACTTATTTTACTGTGCAATAAAGAAATAATAATAGGTATGTAGGTAGGTACATGTAGGTATAGATGATGAACAAAACTTGATAAGACAATGCCAAAAATGGGTGATATCGCAAAACTGCAAAATAGTAAAGACATTCTACACCTTTGAATAGACATTTGTTAGCGACACACTAAGGATATAGCCTAGAACTATAAAAGTTCCACTTTATTCTTGTAAAGTATTATGCATACTGAAAGTTTAAATAAACAAAGACAATAATAATATTATAATAATAATGTCTTTATTGTATATTATCTAGTAATATTATCTAGCAAAATTTTAAATCTTATATATATATGTACTTTAGATTTTATTGTAAATATGATATTATTGATTTTAAGTGTAAATATGTATTTTATTTATCTATGCCAAAAATATTGCCATCGTGATGCCTTACGGGTGATAAATGATAAAGAATATGATATATTTGAAACACATTTCTTGATTTGTATACTATATATATGTATAAACACACCAGGAATATCACACTTTATTCAAAGGAAGTACATTTTTCATGCTTTTTAGTATTTTTTTATCATTTTTTATTTGTCATTTATCTATTTCATTATTCCAAGGGACAGAATTCCGGGTTTGATAGCAAAATGATAGGGTAGGTGATAGTTTTAAGTAAAGCGGAAAAAAAAGCCCTTAAAATTCCTAATTCAGGAGTATGTGTATATAAGAAATAGCTACTTATGGGCACCCTGTGGTTCGAAGACTTGCCGAGGTTCATCGATCAAATTTTGTTGATCTGTATCTGGTAAGTGATAAGCGATTTTGTTTCCAAAGTATGATAAGTTTGATGTAATTGGATCATTGTTTCATTTTAATTCGTACAATCAATATTCAAACTGCTTAGTTTTAGCACATCTTTAAATATGTGATGCGTAAAATTCAAGTCTTAATTTGAGCTCAAACGTTTGTAAACAGACAAAATAATTCAGCCGCCTATATATTGAAATCCGTTATAGAAAGTGTCGAAAAAATGCAGTTAGCTATTTATTGATTATATTAGTTCGTATTGGATTAAGATTACTAGATCAGTCCAAATATCTCTGGTACAAGAGCATATCAAGGCTTTGCACCATCACATGATGGCAGCCATGATAGGAGGCGTAACAATAGAGTCCTTTTCCCCTGGGAAACTGAATTCTTTCTAATGTATATCAGATTAGACCACATTCAATGGTTCCAGCCTATATTATTTATAATATTTTTTGAAGAAAACTCTTAGTCTTAGCACAAAAACAAAAATGTAGTTAATATTGATTGAAATCTATTGAATAACCGTCTTTTCCGTCTTTTAGTCTGGGATAGGGTGTAYAATTCTTAGTTTTAGTCTGGGGTAGGGTATGTAAAATCAAAATTTTAGGTCTGGGATAGGGTCAGGGTTTTGAGGTCCTTGTGGTAGTACCCCCCCCCCCCCTGGGGTAGAGATTTAGGATTTTTTTGGGGAGGCTAGAAAGTTCCAATGCTGGCTGAGTCAAAAATGACAATGTAAAAAGAGGTTATAAAGGGGAAGGGGGGGGGGGAGTGTGGGGTGCACCTATTGATTACTTAGCCAACACCTGGAATAAGAACAAATGAACTCTGGACTCTACACTACGTACTGAGAGTAAAATCTCAAACATCAGTGGTGAAACTCTATTCTTAACAAACTTTTCAGCAATACCTTGTGTGCTGTGGTACTCTGATTGTTTCAAATATGGCAGATTCCAAGCCAAAGTTATATGCAGCATGGTTTTGCCCATTTGCTCATCGTGCCTGGATAGCAATGTTGGCCAAGAAAGTAGATTTTGAGTACATTGAACATGACCCATATGACAAGACGCCAGAGTGGATGGCCATCAGTCCCACTGGAAAAGTACCTGTGATTGTCCATAATGGGAAMMAAATCTATGAAAGTGCTGTTTGTATTGAATACATCGATGAGGCATTCTCTACTGAAGTCCTGCTGCTCCCAAAAGATCCTTATGAAAGAGCAGTGGCACGTATCTGGGGAGATTTTCTTGGGAAWAATRTAAYWYCYCATTTCKTTAGTGCTCTTARGAAGAAGACRAAGGAAGAGCAAGTGGAACAGCTAGAGAACTTTCAGAACGGACTGAAAAAGTTTCTTGCCGCCATGGATCCCAATGCTACATTTCTTCAGGGTGAAACCATAGGATACCTTGACATAATGCTGGCACCTTTTGCAAATCTGCTCAAAGTCTTGAAGCATTACATAAGTTTTGAGGTGCCACAAGTGCCAGAGTTCAGCAGGTTCCACAAATGGTGGGATGCAGTCAAGAGTCACCCAGCAATAATACCAGTTACACAGATCCCAATTGAAAAATTCATTGCAAGATACGAAAAGTATTTTTCAACTTCAAGTTAAAAACTTGTGGAGATTGTGATTGTGATTGTAATAAAAATCAAAATGGCAAATGTCTGTGATTCATGATTTCTCTTTTATTATATACTAATAATATTTTTTTCAATTCTTTCTTTCATTATCTCAAATGACAAAATTCAGGGCCAGCTAATAAAAAATACCTAATTAATATTTATGAGTAGATAGTAAATATGATTCTTATGGGCTACCTGTGGTTGGAAGACTTGTTTTTCGTCGGCCATTTTATTTGTTGATCCATCTGCTGAGTAAAGGTAAGTGATGATTAGTAAGCGTTAATAAATAATTTAGTCTCAAAAAAATAAACTTTTCATCCTAAAGCTTTAAAGTATGATAACTTTAATAGAATTAGGTCATTATTACATTTGCATTTGGACGATCAAGTCTCAAACTGGTTCGTTTAAGTTTTGTAGAAGATTGAAATATTTATTAAATCGCTTTAGAAATGAAACAGCTTTCTTACTATTGAAATCCGTGCTAGAAAACGTCGATTAAATGCAGCTAACCATTTATTCATTGCATTAGCTCGTATTTGTCTTAAATGAGATGATATTTTCTAAAAGATGATATAGCAGATCATAAGTATTCTTGGTTTGCAATCAATCCCAAGAGAGCACAATAACAAAAGGGATGTCCGCCATGTTGGAAGATATAACAAAAGAATTCATTGAAAAATCTTTTGTCAAATTCTTCCAACATGGCGGCTATGACATCTATTGCAAACGAAGAATATCCAAAGATTTCAGTCTGCCCAATCTTTCATTGTTCAGGGTTTTCTTTTAATAGTCTGATACCAAATAATACTTACTTATCGATTTTTCTTTTTTTCCATCTTCCTCATGTTCGTAGTGATTTTAGTGATGATAAAAAGGTTAATGTATGTGTGTGTTTGGGGAGGCTGGAGGAAGTTTTAATGGGGTGGTTTTGTCACCAACGGATGTAACAAGAGTTTAAATCATTTAATTCGATTCAAAAAAGTTGCACCTATAAAATAAAGAAACATCAAAACTATAATAGGGTAAAATATAGAATACCAGTGATTGAAGTTTGTTATTAACAACATTTACAGCAATACCTTGTACTGTGCTGTGGAACTCTCAATAGTTTCAATTATGGCAGATTCCAAGCCAAAGTTATACACTGCATGGTTTTGCCCATTTGCTCAGCGTGCCTGGATAGCAATGTTGGCCAAGAAGGTAGATTTTGAATATATTGAACAAAACCCATACAACAAGACACCAGAATGGATGGCAATAAGTCCGACTGGGCTCGTACCAGTCATAGTGCATGATGGCAATACTGTTTATGAAAGTTCGGTATGCATCGAGTATATTGATGAAGCTTTCTCAAGTGATGTCTCACTGCTTCCGAAAGATCCATATCAACGTGCTTATGCTCGTATCTGGGGTGACTTCTTGTCCAAGAATGTAATTCCTCATTTTTATGCCATTCTTTTGAAACAAACCGAAGAAGAACAGAACAGAGCGAAGGAACAATACCTAGATGGGATCAGGAAAATAACTGCAGCCATGAAGCCTGAAGGATCTTACTTTCAGCAAAAATCCCTGGGATATTTCGACATCATGTTAGCACCGTTTGCTCAGCGCATGCCAGTCTTAAAGCACTTTAAAGGTTTCGAAATCCCAGATACACCAGAGTTTGCAAGGTACCATAAGTGGTGGGAGTCAGTCAAGAGGCACTCGGCTGTTGTGCCGACACTCAGAGATACAGAAGACTTAATACAAATGTATGAACGGTATGCTCACAATACAACAAAGTCACTTGTAAGTCAGGCAGTTCGTAAGGGGCAGCCTCTTCCATGAAATCAATTCACTAGCACTTCTAATTCTTTGCAAAGCAAAGAGATTTTTATTTTTATCCATGTTTTTTTTTAGAAATAAATTGATATCATTCACATTATTTACCACCAAAGACCTGCACATGGCACATGCAAGCACACAATATTTAACAAATTGTTTATACTATACTGAAATAATACTCAATTGAAGGTTAATTGCCCGGTTCAAAAATATAGAAGATAAGCTGGGACTGAAATGGTACATGGGAAGTACATTAATATATAATGGCAGGGATGCTTGTCGGAAATTTCGAAAGTGACCCTTAAATGGTACCCAAGTCTTGTCCAGGTGGGCATGGCAACTGATGATATTTACCCCTCAAGTGACCAAAGTCAGATGATGAACCAAAACTAAATTATCCTGAATTACGAATACCATTCTAGCTGTCATTAACATAATCTCAGGTATCTTATTACTCAACAAACACCCAAAGAGGTACTACTGCTTACTGTCTTATGGTCCATTTAATTGTGTGACACCCTAAGAGGTACCAATTCACAGTTTTGGAACCCTAAAAGGTACAACCAACATCCCCACCTTTTTTTATTGGATACAATATGGAATGTTGCTTTATAAGTTGCACTTACAGAAAGCATGGAGGCTTCCAACACATTTCCTCTTGACTGTGTATCTCTAATAAGTACATCTGAGGATAATTATGTCATATTTTCCCAAAATACATTTTGGTCTCAGCTTGTATGTTCTAGGTTTTGAGGCAATACAGTAATGATTTTTTTAAAGAACTGTTGATGTGAAAATAATGAGCCACCAACTTTAGTCACCATGTATCCATCCACCTCGCAATGTTGTAAATAAACAGAATATTAACAAGTGATTTTTATAGTATGTACATGTATGCAGACACTGACAATTCATCATTTTTGTTTTGTTAATTGACATGAGTGAGTTTAAACACCCAAGCCCAAAGTGACGGTAACTCGGAAATTGCAATAGGAGGGACAGAAATGGAGAAGAATGGCTTTGCAAATTCTATATCTTCCTCAGTTTCATCCAATGGCTCATCATCTGAGTCTGCTTGTCCAGATTCTTCTGTTTTTTCTGGTTCAAATCTCCAGTTAAACACCCTGTTTTCCAAACCCAGCATTGATACCCTTGTGATCTTGGTAGGAGTGGGTGCATCCAGGAGGAGAGTACCAGAGGTTGGCCATGATAATGTGATTGCATATACATTACCACTTTTAGTTGTATACCTGAGAATTTGAACAAGAAGAACATTTCTCAATTCGAAATCAAATTTTCTGCTTCCCTCTCATTTTTTCCGTCATTGCTTTGAACTTGGTAACCATAGTAAATAATGAATTAAAGTGTTTTAAAGTCAAATCATACATTTAAAAAAATATTTTTAAATTTTGACCATTAGTCAGCTTTAATTCCCTCTAATTTGTCCAGACTGTACAATTCTGCTCATTGTTTACCAAAATGTCATCTCAATGGTTCTTACCAAACATTGGGGTCCCTCGTATCATTTTGGGCCTTCCAGGGCTTGCTGCCATATATGGCTTCACCATTAACTGCCAACCAGTCACCCATCTGATAAAGCCTTTCCTGGAATATCACGGGGATGGTACCATCCGATGCTGGGCTGATATTTATTAAAATATTGCCACCACAACTAAAAAATAATTTTGATCGTAACATTTTAAAAACAATCACTAAAAATATGTTAATATGAGACTATGGAGTACTTCACTGATTCATTTTGGGTCCACTCTGCATTTCAGTTTTATAGAGCGTTGGCCACAGACTTTTAGCAACATCATAAATGACGTATCCATAGGGTTCTACAGAGATCTATCTTGGTTCCACTAGGTTTTAGAGACTTGAATACAYGCAGTTTTAGTATTAGATTTCGATAAATTTGGTGCATTTATGGAGTCCTGCAGAGATTCAGGTTGGGTCCCCTCGAAAGAAATTAGTAATATACAAATAAACACTAATAATGGAAAGAAATGAACTTTTAGACAGTTGTACGCACCTGACGGTAGAGACAATTTCTCTTAGCATCTCGTTAACCGTCATATACTCTTCTATCTTGCTGTCTCTTCTTATAYCCCAGGAATTGTTCAAAAGCGTCATAGCATTCTCCCATTTATGCTGGTCCAGCGTTCCTGTTAAACAAAGTTAGAATTTTGATTGGATATATAACAGAATATGCATCGTGCTCAGTGATTGGATAACTAAGTTCTCTCCGCGCATGCGGAGACTCTTAAAATCGTTGTATTGTATCGACATAACATCTTTTTGGAAGTGAAGAAAATCTACTTTCTTCTTGGAAATACTTTTGAATGAAAGATATTCACTCTAGGATTTTTGCCACTCATTAATTCTACTAAGCATACTTAGTCTCCCTCGCTTTCAGTCACGTTGTCCTGATTTCCGCGATTTCGAGGATCTTATCATACTACCGCTGACCGCAAGGCGTAATATGTTCTTGGCACCACAAGTAACCCCTTATGCTACTCTTCTTGAAAGCCATGCGCGTTTTTCTTCATTAGACATACCTGGATTGTATCTGTCCATACATACATGTACATCTCCATGGTTACATGAACAGTTTATACCCCAGCGATCATTGACTACGACGGATGATGCCACTGGGCTGTAGTCCAATAATAACGAGCATTACGCATGAGTAGGGAACGTTTAAGGGCGAGAGATAGAGGACAATCTGCGATGGAGTAGCGCTGTGTAATTACAGTCGTTTAGTGGTTCTCTACTGTGCTTTGAGGGGTTTTCAACGGGTTCTCTGGTTTTCCTCCCTCCGCAAAATTCAACTCCTATAAATTCCAATTCAATCATGAACGAGGACTACAGGCTGTCTTAGCCACTGGCTATTAAGTGCTTTCCGCGTAGCAAAGACAAAGGAGACCTTAAATGCAATTCCTTCAGGTAAAGAAAGAGCCTGGAAACGAGTTTGATTCAAAGTTCCTTTCATACACTTACATTTTGTTGTGACCACATTTTCATCCCTTCCATCTCTTTCTTCCCTTACCTTTCATTATAAAGCCACGCCAAAAATTTTTTGCTGTCCCAATATTCGTCTGGTGCTTCCCAGTCCCCGTCGGACCACAGGTATTCCGGTTTATACCTTTCAATTAGCTCCTTTAGTTGTGGCATAACTGTTGTCTGAGACAATTGAAAACACGTTATTAGTACCAAATGATACTCTCTTAGCCAGGAAAAGGAAGATTAAAAATTTCCCCATTTATTTTCTTATTAGTGGTTAATTCAGGAAGATCAAAGACGTACGATTCCGAAGATGGAGCAACACGCGCGCGTTTAGACTCTTCCACAGTCTCTCGCTCGTCCGTTCCGTCTCCACGCTTAGAGACTGTAACGGTACAATGACCGAAAGGCGAAAGGACTTATGGGTCCCGAAAACCTGAAYCCAGCGTGCTTTGGGAACCAAAATACTCGTCCACAGTCTCTCTCGTTTCAATATTTTCAAGATGGCGGCGAAAACGAGAGAGACTGTGGACGAGTATTTTGGTTCCCAAAGCACGCTGGGTCCAAGTTTTCGGGACCCATAAGTCCTTTCGGTCATTGTACCGTTACAGTCTCTAAGCGTGGAGACGAAACGGACGAGCGAGAGACTGTGGAAGAGTCTAGCGCGCGTTTTGGCGCCCACATTTCCCGCCAAATCAATTGCAACATAAACTGATTTAACCACAGATAATCAGAGATACGTTCAATTAATTTCACTGGGGTTTTCATAGGTATCATGATATGGATCGAGAAAATATAAATATATACGTGTATGTATATATCATTTCCCACAAATATTTTCGTGTAAAAATCAATAAATGAATTTTTTTTGAAATTAATACGCGCCTCCTTACTTTAACGAACTCTTGAGTCGTAAAATTATTTGCCTTGTCCTTTAAGTAAAGAGGATTGAACCATTCATAGAGAGAAAAGTACAAGCCAAAAGTAATGTCGCTGTGGTTTTTACGGAACGTCTCAGCGAGCTCCCCTGAAATAAAACTTGTGTTAACATTTCTCCACTCAAAAAACCAGGTCCACTCTTACATATTATTCTTTAAATTGTTGCCGGTTGTTCTCTGGTCGGAGTCCCTGGCATTTTATCTTATATTGAGCATGCGCATTAAGAATGATAGGGAGAGCTCATGTTTCGGGAGTGCAGTTCAAGGCTGAACGAACATACGGGGACGAGACTGGGATCAAGATACGGAGATGAACTGAACTAATTACTGAAGTCAGCCTCTGCTGACCAGGAGAAGGTAGATATTTATGTCAGCATGCGCATCATAAACATCATCAGCATCATCATCATCATCA